CTGAGATGTTTTAAAACTATATAGAGGTGCTGGTTGCAACACATTATGAATGAATGTACTGAATGACAATGAACTATTCACTGTAAAATAGTTTATATTAAATTAATTTTACCTCAATACATTATTCTTTTAAAGAATCAAAAGAATGACCAATATATTCCTAAGACCAAAAAGCAAATGACACTTTATCCAGTTCAGCATTCAACAGGACATCATTATACACTATTTTACAAGAACTTGTTCTGCTGAAGACATGAGTGACCTTTCATCTTTTTTGTGGACAAATGCTGAAAGAGCTGCACACAAAGATGAACAAAAGGAAACTGATAATGCAAAAATTAAAATAAAATCACTGGACTATAACAGGTGTTTATCAATGTAAAATAAAAATGTGTTACAAGAAAGATGATGGCCATGATCTCATCAACAGAATTATTAGATGTCATTATTTTCAAAAAGTACTGCAACTGGGAATACTAAAAGTTCTTAAAAGTAGATGGTAATAATGGTTGCAAAACTAAGTGAATGTACTGAATGTCATTGAACTATATATCTAAAAATGGGAAATTTTACGTTATATATTTTTTAACACAAATACAAAACATCCCAAGTACAAGGAGAATCAGAAGAAGTGCTAAGCTAGGGTTTATCAGAGACATATATAAAATGTGGAATTGCTCTTTACATGATGGCTATACTCCAGATTTATGTATGATGAAGAGCAGTTAATTACATTCAATAAAGTTGTTTATCTGAGATACATTCCTTTCAAAAACAAATACAAAATAAAAAATTGTATTTGCTATGTTAAAACTTTATTAATATGGGGCCTCCCTGGTGGCGCAAGGAGTTAAGACACAACATATGAAGCTAACCGTAGCCACTGCAGCACGAGTTCGATCCCCGACCAGGGAGCAACTCACATGGTGCAGCAGACCTATCCTTACTCATCCGCTGCTCCCCTCAGCAGTGTATTTCAGTCAATCTGCCTGTTCTGTTCCCCACTCTGTCTCTGGTGAATCCTCTCATCCCCCACACCTCTGGCCTGTAACCCCATTCTTGTATGCATAAATAAATACATCTTTTAAAAAAATTAAAAAAAACTTTAACATTTCTAATAAAGTTTCTATTCCATTTCTAATACAGTCTAATACAGTTGCTACCCCATTATTTTTATTTCTGTATTCATAAAATGACCTAAAGTTGTAAAAAAAAAATACAATAAAAAAGGTCGACTGGTACATTTGGGAATTGGTGATGACTACCCTTCTTGGTATTATGATGGTTAAAAACTGACTGCAATCCAAGGGCCCTGGATTCATATCCTGGCTCTGACATTTATTAGCACTGTGTCCTTTAGTCAATTACTTCTCTCAACCTCAGTTTCCTCATGGGCAAAATGGATGATAGCATCCACCTCAGAGTTGTTCAGAAAATTAAAAACAACAGACATAAAAAACATTCAACATAATGCCTGGCATAAACAATGAATGCTAGCTACTATCAGCACCTATGAGCTGAGCTACAGTTCATCCAATAGAGATCCTTCTTCTCAAATAGCTAATCATTTAGTGAGTTTCAAAACACCCAATCTATTCCATAGTGATAAATTAATCACATGGGAGAGGAGGAAATTCTATTTAGCAAAGGGGTTATAAAATCAAAGTGTTATACTATTAACAAAAGAAATCATGCTTTTATTTCTTAGAAATAAAGCAATACAAAAGGCCTATGAATCTAAACCAAGTTTTTACACTTATCAAAAAGTGAACTCAAGAGTTCATTCATATGATTAACTTTATTTAAAACATTATTCGGAAATATATATGAAGTGTGTAACTATATCTAATATGTCATACATAATGTTTAGGCCAGAGGTGCAGGGGGTGAAAGGATTCATCTGAGACAGAGTGGGGAGCAGAACAGGCAGATCTCCTGAAATACGCTGCTGAGGAGCGCAGTGGGTCAGACAGGAGAGGTCTGCTGTGTCATGTGGGTCACCTCCCTGGCCAGGGATCCAAACTCATGCAGCAGTGGGTGACGAATAGCTTGACAGCACTGAGACATTAACCCCTGAGACACAGCGAGGCCCAGGCATCAGTAATTTCATAAGATTTAATTTTCTCTACTTTTTCATCACCCACCCAAGTGAATTAATATATGATTACACAGATTTGTTAGATTATGATGGAATTAAAATAAATCAGTTATCATTTATAGAAAATGTACAGAACCATGAATAACCTCAAAACACGGATCCTTCAAAATTATCTTAATCTGGATTTGGAAACTGACAATTTTTTTTTTAATTTTCAATCTTTTCACAAGGGACACTATCCAATAATTCATAGAATTCAAGCAAAATCCTGATGTCCTTTTAGCTGTTCAAGTTTATAGTTCTGTTTCTTAGTTTTGTTACTGTTTTTCTCCCCAATTTATGATGTACCTAAATACAATTACTTGATAGTAAATCCCTTTTAAACCACTCCATATTTGCGATCTTACTGTATTTCTAATTCCCCAACTCTATAATTTGTGGAACATAATTAGGAATTTATCTAATTTTCTTAAGGGCATTCTTCAGTGGAAAAGACAACATTAAATTTAATCATTTAAGTAGGATTTTGAAAGGAAGATCTCCCGCAGTTTAGAACAGTGAGGATAGAATTATAAATATCTCTTGTGCTATCTCCTAATTACAGCATTCAAGCATATTTTTTAAATACTACCTGGATATAGAAAAAGATTTGCCAAGAAATTTTGTGGCTTGCACTAAAAGAACTTACAATCTACCTAGAGAGGCGTGATATAAACCCATGAGAAAACATGGTGACAGCACAGTTGTTTACAACCAGAAAGGCTCTGGAGTCAGTGAGATAGAGATTTGAATCCTAACTCCTCCAGCTATTCACTTTAGGACCTGGAACAAATGATCAGACTCTAGAACTCATCTATAAAATAGGGTAATACTTATCTTACAAGTCTGTTGTAAAAATAAATACAAAGAGCCTAATACTGTATCTGGACCACCCACACATAATAACTAGTGTTGTTGCTTCTATTGTTGTCTTAGAGGTGAAAAAGACTTTTTTTTTTTTTGGAAAAGACTATTTAATCCAATCCTTATTTTACAGAGGGAGATATTGAAATATCACAAAGTATAATATGAATGGTATATAAGTGCAACAAGCAAGGTACATAACAACTTCATGAGTAAAAGTATTCAGGTAAAGCTTCCACAGCTGTAGTTATGAAAAGAACACTACTAAACTGAGGACAAATGAAGGCACAATTGCTACTAATTTTCAAACACAGTTATGAGCCTACATACTAAAACACAAGGTTTACATGACATGTTTAAAAACAGAATGAACCCCTATCATAGAGGTTAAAATGCAGCATTGCAATTGTAATAGCAATATATTATTAACCAAACACCTTGGGCGGAAATTTTTTTCAACTCAACAGGTGAGGCCTCATTGAAAGATCATGACTTCAAAACTTTCTGTTGTTGTAATTTTGTTCTGGGACAAATTCATGACAGGCTATTTACTAAATAACACTTCATTAAACATATCATAATTGTAGTTACTTCTGAACTCCCATATACCTTAATCCATCCATATGCACAATAATCCATATAATTTGTTTGAAAAACTTCTAACTTCAACTTCAAATGTGCCCCGAGGTAGCCACATAACCAAGAATGTCATCACTGTTAATCAACCTTACTAAAATTCGGTCCTTTTTTTTGTTATTTCACATTAACAACTGTGAGTCAGCAGCATTAAAACTTACTTCTTAAAAAAATACTTACTTCTATGAGCAGAAAAAAAAAATTCACCGAGACCTGTATTTCTGTGCTAATTTTAAGCCTCTCTCTGCTTTTCCCATACAATCTTTATCAACTTTTGGTTACCATTTCGACAACTGTTCATCCCGTCACTGTATTTGTAATTAAACTCTTCCGGAAACTTTGCATTTTTTTCTTTTGACAGACGCAAAGTAACGTCCCCACGAAAATTAGGTTCCAAGAGGGAATGTAGATTAGCAGAGTTCTACCTTCTTGAAAAGTAGAATGTAGTCAATTCACTAGCAACGACTCGGGACAAATTGATATTAAAGTTAAGAGGCAAAGCAGGAAAATGTTTTGAAGATTTTCAAAGTTAAAAACAAGTGCACCTCCGGGCTTTCTGTTTGTTGAAGGGAGCTGAAAACATAACACTAAGAGAAAGAGTCAAAGCTACGAGAAGCACAAATGATAAAACCACCATGCCTCCAATGGGAAAGTTTTAATTAATTTTAAACCTCTCTCCCTTGTTTCCTCTGTTAGATTTGAAGTTTGTCAACGCAGGAGTAACTATCAATAAAGCACCAACAAATTGAGGCCATAAACAGGAGTTCTCCCTCTACAGGGAAGGGAGGTTCCCCAGATAGGATGAACTGAGCGGAGCAAAATATCCGGGAGCAAGGGGCCCACATCCAGAACTAATTTTGCCGGAAACCAGGGAAAGCGGGTGGGGAGCACAAGCGCGCCTGGGCTTCTTCCTCAGGGCCCGGGCCTACAAGTGGCAACTCGGCTGGACAACGTGACTCAGGAAAGCACGGGGCTGGCAGCGGCCTAGCGCGGCTGCCTCCGCCGGCCTCCAGGGCCTCCCTTCCCCGTCCTACCTGAAGGCGGGCGGGCCCGGGAACCCGCGGTCTGGACCCTTGTCTTCCTGCTGCCGGGACACGGCGGCGGCGGGGCGCTGAGAGCGGCTCGCACTCCGCTGGGCTCAGGCTCGGCGAACCCGCGATGAATCAGCCCGATTCCATTCAAAAGAGTCGCCCGGGCCTCCCCGCGAATCACTTCCGGGTTCACCGCTCCGCGGCGGCTTCCGTTCCCCCGACGGCCAATTGGAGGCGACTCGGGCGAGAGTCGGGCGGGCGTCCCGGGAGGAGCCGGGTGGCCGACGGCGCTGGCTGCCCGACTGCGCCTGTCGCGGCCCGGCCGCGGCCCCTGCGTCTGGGGTAGTCTGAGTTTTCACCCCCAACAGCCGCCCCCGCCCCCCGCACTGCTCCCCCCAAGTTCTGCGGCCGCGGCCTATCCAACGCGGAGGGACCGTGGCTGGGAAATGCAACTGCAGGGGTGAGAGATCTGAACCGCTCTCGTTTTGGTGTTCACCGAGGCCCTCCTCGAAACCTGAAGGTTCACTTCAAATAAACTTAACTTGGTCATCTGAGAAGCACAAGAAAAAAGGAAGGGGTGTGAAACGAAGGGGAATCTGTCAAAAGTATTTCCTATCGTGTGAACTACCTGCCCGTGTCTACTGCTTTGCAAGGATTGGATTCAGGAAAATGCAGTGTTTCCCAGATGTTAAAACCACTCAGTTTATGGTCAGTTTACAGGGCTTAAGAAATAAATAATTTACTCTCCATGTAATTAGTGTCAACGACGTTTACCTCTTCTTTGCTCCTTGCCAGATTTTCAGAGAGCAAAACCGCCCAAGAAGTGACTATTGACAAGTTTGTATCGCAGGTAGGTACAGGCTCTGTTTAGGCAGCATGTTCACCAGATCTTTCCCACTTTATCAACTATGCTCCAAATAGCATCTTTAAAGCATTCCTAAATCAGATAAATCTGCTGGATGGAGGGGGAAAAGCATCCAAAGATATTTGAGTCGCACAATTTAGAATTTTCCTCTACAAGATACTCCATATCAAAAAATAGAGTATTTCAATCACAGGTAATTTTAATTATATTTGGATTCACGTCTTTGTTTCCCTCCCCAAACAGTGCCTTTTCTTTGTATATTTTTTGATGAATTTCTATTCACAATCTAGTATCCCTAATCAAATCTGAGAGTAGACACTTTCATTCGCTTGTTCTTATTGGACGTTCAATTAACCACCCTAGAAATCATGAAGTGTCTGATCTATAAAATAGTTTTTCTAACATCACACCCCCTTTCTCCATTACTTCATCACTTTTTTCCTGGAATGCTATTCTTGCCTCAAGTCTGTTCCCCTTCAATCCATTCTCCACTTCATTGGTAAAGATATTTTGGCTATATAAATGTAGTCACAATCCTTTGCTTAAAATTTCACCTGTGTTTAAAAAAAGAAATTCATGCTCCGCTTCCTATAACATCCAATACAAAAGTAAAAAAATCCCTAAACTTTGGAGTATCCTTATTTGCTTCAGCCACACAGATATTCACATGGACTTTGAAATACTCTGACATATTCCTGGGAATCTAGAAGATATCATGTGTATTTAGGGTTGTGTGCATTCCTAGGACTGTGGGAATGCTCAGGAAGGCCCTCAGCTTTAACCTCTGGCTGACTCTGAAGCTGTACACATGTAGGAAGTAAAACCCAAGGTGGAGCTGTAAAATCCCTATTTTGACTGTTGTTGGAAGCACACATCAATACACATACTTAGCCCCTCAACAAAGACTGGAAGATTTATTGATCGAAGATGTTTGTTTTTTTTTTAAGATTTTTTCATTTTTATTTATTTATGAAAGCACTGGGTACAGTCAGAAGCGCGGGAGGGTGAGAGAATTCACCAGAGCCAGAGCGGGGAGCAGAGCAGGCAGAAGGACCGAAGTACACTGCTGAGGGGAGCAGCGGGTGGCAGGAGAGGTCTGCACGCCATGTGGGACCCTCCTCCGGTGGCCGGGGAGCAGGCGGGGATTGAACCAGCGCTGCAGAGGCTGCTGGCATCTTCGCAACCCAGCACTCAACCGCTGCGCCACCGGGGAGGCCCTTGATCAAAGATGTTTAAGGAAATCTGTCAGTTATCAGATGAACACTAAGCTTACTGACTAAGAATTCAGTGGTCACACACAATGAAGAATACAGACTTAAAGAATGAATTCAGCAAAGTCATTAAACCAACAACTACTACTACAAGTAACTAGAAACCCTGGGGAGTAGACAGAATCTGATTTCCAGTATTGTCATATTGGATTAGTTAAAATGTGTAGTTTTCAAAATAATATTAAAAAAGTATGGTACATGCACAGAAACAAGGACTAAGGCCCATATACAAAAATAAAACAGTCAATAGAAACTATCACTGAGGAACCCCTATATTGCACTTGCTAGATAAAGATAAGACCTTCAAGTAAGATATTTTAAATATGTTCATAAAGCTAGAGGACTGTTTCAAAAGAACTAGAAGCAAAGTATAAGAAGAATGTTTCATTAAATGGATAACATCAACAAAGAGATAGAAATTATTTTAAATAAATAAAAAATCTGGGGGCCTCCCTGGTAACTCAAGGGGTTAAGCACCACACTATGAAGCAATCTGCAGCCTCTGCAGCACGAGTTCGATCCCCGGCCAGCCAGAGAGCAACCCACTTGGTGCAGCAGACTTCTCCTGACTTGCCCACTACTCCCCTCAGTAGTGTACTTCGGTCAATCTGCCTGTTTTGTTTCCCACTCTGTCTCTGGTGAATCCTCTCACCCCCTGCATTTCTGGCCTATACCCTCAGCTCTTGTATGCATAAATAAATAAATCTTTAAAAAAATAAATAAATAGGGCCTCCCCGGTGGCGCAGCGGTTGAGCGCTGGGTTGCGAAGCTGCCCACGGCCTCTGCGGCGCTGGTTCGATCCCCGGCTGCTCCCCGCCCACCGGAGGAGGGTCCCACATGGTGCGCAGACCTCTCCTGCCGCCCGCTGCTCCCCTCAGCAGTGTACTTCGGTCCTTCTGCCTGCTCTGCTCCCTGCTCTGGCTCTGGTGAATTCTCTCACCCTCCCGCGCTTCTGACTGTACCCAGTGCATGTATAAACCAAACAAACAAACAAATAATAAATAAATATTTTTAAAAAAAATTAAAATAAAATAAATAAATAAATAATCTGGAATTGAAAAGTATAATAACTGAAATGAAAAATTCATTAGAGGGATTCAACAGAAGATTTGAACAGGTTAAAGAAAAAATCCACAAATTTGAATAATCAGTGGAGATTATCCAATCTGAAGAACAAATAGAAAATAGATATCAATGGAAACTGCGAGAGGATGAGAGATATAATTAAACATCCAACATATGTATAATGGGAGTCCTAGAAAGAGAGGACAAAAAGAAAAAGACAATATTTGAAAAAACAGGGTCAGAAAATCCCCAAATTTGATGGAAAACATTTTTTCCCACACATCCAAGAAGCTTAACAAACTCCACGTGTAATTAAATTCAAAGAAATCCATACCTAGACACATTATAATAAATCTGTTGAAAGTCAAAAACAAGGAAAAAAAAAAAAAAAAAAAGTCAAAAACAAGGAGAGAATCTTCAAAATGTCAAGAGAGAAATCACTCATCACATAATCCTTAATAAAATTAACAATAGAAACAAAATGCATTGGTATAACATTCAAAATGCTGGGGTGGGGTGGTGGGAAGTAGGAAGACTTTTAATCAAGAATTTTATATCTGGGCCTCCCCGGTGGCGCAGCGGTTGAGCGCTGGGTTGCGAAGCTGACCGCGGCCTCTGCGGCGCCAGTTCGATCCCCGGCTGCTCCCCGGCCACTGGAGGAGGGTCCCACATGGCGCGCAGACCTCTCCTGCCGCCCGCTGCTCCCCTCAGCAGTGTACTTCGGTCCTTCTGCCTGCTCTGCTCTCCGCTCTGGCTCTGGTGAATTCTCTCACCCTCCCGCGCTTCTGACTGTACCCAGTGCATGTATAAATAAACAAACAAACAAACAAACAAATAAATAAATAAAACATGCCTCTATAAAAAAAAAGAATTTTATATCTAAGATAACTATCCAAAATAAAGAAATGCATACATTCCCAAGATGTGTGTATATACAGCAATGGAATTCATCACTAGAAAGCCTGCCCTGCAAGAAATACTATAGGAATTCCTACAGTCTGAAATGAAAGGACACTAGACAATAACTCAAATCCACATTAAGGAATTAAAGGATACTATAAAGGTAAAGGTAATTGTAAAAGTAATTGTAAAAGTAAATATAAACTGTAAAAGTAAATAAAAAGTCAGTATAATTATATTTTTGTTTGCAATTCATTTTTTCCTGTTTAAACAACAGCTATATAAAGCAATAATTATAATCAGTGTGGATAAGCATAATATATAGAGAAATATAACTTCTATCACTGTAACAGCATAGACATGGGAGAAAAGAATGATGTTATACTATAGCAAAGCTTTTGTATACTATTGAAATTAAGTGGTATTAATCTGAACTATATAGTTAAACCTGGTAATTATAATCTTAGGAGTAATCACTAAGAAAATACTCAAAATATATATAATAAATGACAAGAGAATTAAAATTTAAGTGGTACACTGGAAAATATGTATTTAACACAAATAACAAAAGTAATAAAGGAATAGAAAAACAAAAGAGATATATGTAGTCCCTAAGAGACACCCTTTAGAGTCAAAGACAAAAATATATTGAAAGTAAAAGCATGTAAAAACATATAACATGCAAACTAACTAAATGGTACCATTTTGGAAATTGTTCTGGCATTTTTTTAATTAAAATATAATTATCATTTGACCTCTCACTCCACATTTTATGTTTACCAAAGATGAATAGAAACATATGCCCACACCAAGACTTAAAATATGATAGTTCATAACAATTTTATTAATAACAGCCCCAAACTGGGAATAAACCAAATGTTTCCCAACTGGTAAGTAAAGATGAGTATCTCCTTAACATGCAATCATACTCAGCAATAAAATGGAAACTACTCATATATGTCTGTCTTTTTTTTTTTTTTGAAGATTTATTTATTTATGCATACAAGTGCTGGGGTGCAGGCCAGAGATGCAGGGGTGAGAGGATTCACCAGAGACAGAGTAGGGAACAGAATAGTTGGATTGACTGAAATACACTGCTGAGGGGAGCAGTGGGCAAGACGGGAGAGGTCTGCTGCGCCATGTGGGTAGCTCCCTGGCCAGGGATGGAACTTTTGCTGCAGTGACTGCGGATAGCTTCATAGTGCTGCGTCTTAACCCCTTGCATCACCAGGGAGGCTCCTATGTATGACTTTCAAAAACATGCTGAGATAAAGAAGTGTGACAAAAAAAGAGTACAAACTGTGTAACACCATTTTAAAGTCACATTGCTATTACACAAATGAAATCAAATATGTAATGGCAGACATTAGATTAGTAGTCATTTTAGGAGCTTGAAGTAGAGTTAAGTGAGAGGATTGACTACACGGGATGTGAAAGAACTTGAGTTGTTGGAATTGTTCTATCTCTTTATTGTGGTGATTTGTCAAAACTCATCAACCTATAATTAAAATGGGTACATTTTATTGTATATAATTCATAATACCATAAAGTTAATTTATTTATTTATTTTTTTATTTTCAAAATAGAGGCATGTTTTATTTATTTATTTATTTGTTTGTTTGTTTTGTTTATACATGCACTGGGTACAGTCAGAAGCGCGGGAGGGTGAGAGAATTCACCAGAGCCAGAGCAGGGAGCAGAGCAGGCAGAAGGACCGAAGTACACTGCTGAGGGGAGCAGCGGGCGGCA